TCTTTTCTTTTCTTTTCTTTTCTTTTCTTTTCTTTTCTTTTCTTTTCTTTTCTTTTCTTTTCCTTATCCTTATCCTTATCCTTATCCTTATCCTTATCCTTATCCTATTCTATTCTATTCCTAACTCCTCTTCTCTTCTCTTCTCTTCTCTTCTCTTCTCTTCTCTTCTCTTCTCTTCTCTTCTCTTCTCTTCTTTTCTGCTTTCATTTGATTTGCTCTGCTGAGCTCTGGTCTGATCTCAATCAGTTTGTAAGGCCAGCCATCTTACAATCGCAACCCTGGGCAGCTATCACAGAAATTTTAAGCTAAGAACAATTGACCTCAGTAAATCTCTGCTCTAGTTCGATAAATTCTGCACGCCGATAGACGAACAAACCCACGTCTTCTATTGTCAACAGTAAGAATACTTCATAACCATAAAGCTTCCTCAATTTTAGAACAGTTAGCCAAATTTACTTACCGAAGGAGCGTTCATAAACATAAGGCCAAGGGCAGGGGTGTCTCTAGTGTGTGGTCATGGAAGTCAAGATGGCGGATGCAAGGGTGAACAAAGCTCTGCCATTTTTAGGTATATCATTGTAATAAAAGCTCTGCCCATAAAAAACAGGCAGAGCTTGATTGCCCCAAAGTGGCCGCCATCTTGACTTTTTTGACCACCCCTTGCAGACACCCCCGGAGCAAGGAAAAGTAGTGATATTGACAATGTTTCAGACACCACCCGCTATATCTTTGGCAACTGGCCATACCCAAAACAAAGAGGAAATTAAAATGAAAAAAAATGGAGAATGACTGTAGCTCTACAGGATGAATCAAAATATCCATTTTAAAATAACTGCAGCAAACTGAAACTGATTTACTTGGGAGGTTGGGTCCTTCCCCCCCACCCCCACCTCTGGATGTAGCAGAGGAACAATGCTATTCAGTTTGGAGGCCTTTTTTTTGCACGATCAGAATCATTTGATAACCATCATGCTACCTAACGCTGGGCTGACTCTTGTTTTTTCCCCACCAAACTGTTTTGGCCTGCCAGTGAGTTTTGCATACCAATCAATTACATCTGCTGATTTCTGCTGTCAAACCCTACTCACCCAATAGGTTAGGCTTATTGATTGATGGCTGTAATGATATGTGGGAAAGACCTTGGAAGATGGGGGGAAGAGATGCTGCCACGGGAACAGTCAGATAAGAGAGGGCATAGCCCACAGCTGCATAATGGCAAGAGGCTCAGAAGGGACCCTCCCTAGTTTCTTGGGCTGTGAAGGAGATGGGGGTTGGGGGGAGGATTGTACTTTCAGACTTGCAAGATTGTGTCAATATAGCTTTACAATAAAGTAGAATTAGCATACCCAATTGTGTTTCCTGTCTGGTCTACCTGGTAAGGCTGACAATGGCTGACAGTTACTTCTGCGAACCTATGTGCCCATGCTGTAAGCACAACAAGGATGTCACAACAATCGATTACATCTGTGGTGGGCAAAAACATTTTGGACATGAGAATTTAACGCTAGCGGCAGGCAAAAGAGGAACAAGAGTCGCTGGGTTCTTGAGAGCGGCAGCGAGGATCTTGAAAGGTTGCAGGAGGGCTGTAAGCGCTGGAGATGACTTTGGGAGATGGGAGGAAGAGTCCCAGACGAGGCAACCATCCTGCAAAAAGTATCTCAGCCCACAGAAGGAGAGGAGGCGTGGGAATCCTCTCAGAAGGGACTCTCCCTAGTTTTCCGGAGAGTAAAATGAGAGGAGGGGAGGAATATTTTCAGATTTGCAAGATTCTGTTACTGTAACTTTACCATAAAGATAGAGCTAGTAGTCCTGGTGGGGCTTCTTTTTTGGTCTACCTCAAAGGGGCAACATGGGCAGAGAGTAGCAAAGTGTTTACGAGGAAAGGAACATGAGGGACTAGTTGGGTTTCTCAAATCCTATCCAGCCTCTGATTTTGAATGAAGACCCATGCTGGCTTCTGAATCTCCTTCCCTATTTCAAACTTGCTACCCATCCTTTCAGTTCATCCCTTCCAGGCAGTGAGAGGAGGAGGAGGAG